CAGACCTCCCCCTCCCTGAGTACAGACCTCATCCCCCTCTACGTGTAGATCCCCCCTCCCTCTAAGTACAGACCATTCTCCATCATTATAGACCCCCCTCTCTCAGTACAGACCCCCCTCCACTTGTGCTAGTAGGGAGGTGGGGGGGGGTCGGATATGTGCTGGGGGGGTGCTTTTGGGAGAGAAGAGGGCTTGTGCTCTTGTGTGGGGTCGGATTTCAAATCCAAAACCAACTTCTAGCATAAGTCTTCTCCCCTCCCAAAGTGCCCACCCCAGCACATATCCTCTTAACCCCCCAATCGCTCATTGTTTTAACTTGCCCCCCCCCCCCCCTCCCGGTCACTCTGTCCCCCTCCTCTGCCCAGGAACAATATAAGAAAATCAGTGCAGACCTCAGATCAGCACAGACATACACAGCGCTGTCTCTCCTCCTCCCTTTTCCTGTGTACATGTAGACAGCGGAGGAGAGGGAGGCTGCTTCGGTGCGCTCTGCTGGGAGCCAGCAGGGGACAGAGCTGTGGATCAGTGTATCTGGTGTGGTGTCAGCTCCGGTGCCCGTGCCGATGGACCCTGCTTCGGTCTGCCTCCTCATTGCACACACAATGAGCAGAGCGGAGCGCCGGCCACTCCCACTCCAAGCACTCAGATCACTCTGTGTCCAATGTCACTTCTGTAACGCGCCACCCCCCTGAAAAATGATGCCCTAGGCCAGGGGTGGGCAAACTTTTTGACTTGAGGGCCGCAATGGGTTCATATATTGGACCCGGGGGCCGGACCAAGAGTAGATGAATGATGTGTATGTGTCATCCAAAGTAAGTATAGTAATATTCCCCCATAGTAAACAGTAATTAATCCCCCATATAGTAATTCATCCCCCATAGTAATTCATCCCCATAGTAATTCATCCCCCATATAGTAATTCATCCCCCATATAGTAATTCATCCCCCATAGTAATTCATCCCCCATATAGTAATTCATCCCCCATAGTAATTCATCCCCCATATAGTAATTCATCCCCCATATAGTAATTCATCCCCCATAGTAATTCATCCCCCATATAGTAATTCATCCCCTATAGTAATTCATCCCCCATAGTAATTCATCCCCCATATAGTAATTCATCCCCCATATAGTAATTCATCCCCCATAGTAATTCATCCCCCATATAGTAATTCATCCCCCATAGTAATTCATCCCCCATATAGTAATTCATCCCCCATATAGTAATTCATCCCCCATAGTAATTCATCCCCCATATAGTAATTCATCCCCCATATAGTAATTCATCCCCCATAGTAAATTAATCCCCCATATAGTAATTAATCCCCCATATAGTAATTCATCCCCCATAGTAATTAAATATAGTAATTCATCCCCCATATAGTAATTCATCCCCCATATAGTAATTCATCCCCCATAGTAATTCATCCCCCATAGTAATTCATCCCCCATAGTAATTCATCCCCCATATAGTAATTCCTCCCCCATATAGTAATTCATCCCCCCTAGTAATTCATCCCCCATATAGCAATTCATCCCCCATAGTAATTAATCCCCCATATAGTAATTCATCCCCCATATAGTAATTCATCCCCATAGTAATTCATCCCCCATATTAATTCATCCCTCATATAGTATTTCATCCCCCACAGTACTATTCCCCCCCAAGTAGTAAGCCAACTCCCCCCTGTGTCAATTCACTTACCTTTGCTCCGCGCGTTCCTCTCGCCGTGTGTCCCGCGCCGTTCTGGTCTTCAGGGCGGACTGTGAGAGGAGCCTAGCTCCCCTCCCCTCACGTTCATCACGCTGCCCCGCCTACACACATCCTGACAGCCACATCCGCAGGCCGGATTAAAAGGTCCGCCGGGCCGTATACTGCCCGCGGGCCGTAGTTTGCCCATTGCTGCCCTAGGCAAACGCCTTGTTTGCCTTGCGGTAAATACACCCCTGAGCTCATCCCCCACAATTATTACCTTTTGTATCACTTGACCCTCCCTTTTAAATTGTAAGCTCTAATTAGCAGGGCCTTCTGATTCCTCCTGTAATGAATTGTATTGTAACTGTACTGCCTACCCTCATGTTGTAAAGCACTGCACAAACTGTTGGCGCTATATAAAACCTGAATTATAAGGAATAATAGTAATACTAAAATTAATTTATATGATTTTTTTTAAACAGGTAAGTCTTAATATATATTATATAATAATATATTATATTGATAGAAAAGTGAAAAACATTTATATCTCTAAAACAAAGCAAATAAAAATGCCAAGACAACAGGATAACCCCTAAAATGACCCTTTATTGAACAGTAGATACCAGAAGGTTTTGAAAATGAAGAAAGAAGTTGGTATTGAGGTGGTTAAAACATACAGCTTGGTAATGGTGCACTAGGTACAGCAGCACCATAGGTCATACACAGAGGTAAGAGAGGAGTAGGTGTTAACATACTCATCTCATACAGTAGGAGGATGGAAATGAAAGGGTTAGTGTTCAGATGTGCAGGATAAGGGAGGTGAAGGATTAATAAATAGGTCACATAGAGACAGGATGGAGATCAAATGTGCATGGATCATTTTTGACAATGCACTGTACCACAATGCATGGTAGTGTGTAACTATGCGTTGTGCTCTTCATTGCATGTGCTCGTAGCTGCATTGTCTTGCATGGATGCCTTTCAAAATGAGATAGGTACTCACAGGTTAGACCTTGTTCACATGGGGCCTGTGTGTTTTAGGTTTAATTATGCATTTATGAAATCACCTGTAACCTTTGCTTCTTCACTTTTCATTGTGTGCTCTCTTAGGCTTGGTTCACATCTGTGCGGGCGGTGCCGCTGCGAATGCGCATGAAAATCTGTGCAGATGCACCACCCGCACAGAAGAATGTGGACCCGCAGGCGGGTGCCATTAATTCTAATGGTACGCTATCCGCACTGGATAGCGCAACCACACTGGGAACCAAGGTTTCGAAAGAAGTGCAGGGACTTCTTCCCTGTGTGTCACAGAATGGGTTCTCGTGTCCACGCAAAACACGGCCCGCACATCCGCAAATATGTGAATCAGGGGTCAGAATTGCCCAGGTTTGCCACAGGTCTGAATTCCAAGTGGGTATAAAACACACAAATGAATGCAGCTGTTTAATTATTATTACAGCATTAAATGGATTTCTTTCATAATGCAGTGCAAGTATGAGTGAATTTGACTTGACATTAGCTTCTTGCTGTACAGCCAGGGGCGGACTGACAACTCATGGGGCCCCCGGGCAATAGGGGATCATGGGGCCCCTGTGTCCTTGCCCAAACTCAAAAAAGCCTATGAAAAAGGTACCAGGGGCATTTCATGGGGCCCCCTACTGACCCTGGGCCCTCGGGCAGTGCCTGAGTTTCCAAATGGTCAGTCCGCCCCTGCGTACAGCAGAACCCAGACCACAGAGAGGGAGAAGCAGTACAAAAAAAATAATTGGTTATGCTGAAGTGCAAGGATCATGCAAATAGGAGGAGAGCAGAGTGTGCTGCTTCTTCTTTCACTGTCCAGTCACAGGCTGGGGAAGGAGCAAGACCTGTAAGTCAATCAGCAGCAGCACAGAAACTTAGCTCTCCTGAACTGCCACACAGGGTAGTGCTGTGTGGCAGTGTTGTGCAAATCTCAACACTGGATGTAAAAAAGCATGTGTGTATATATATATATATATATATATATATATATATATATACACACACACAGTGCTCAGCATGAATGAGTACACCCCTTCTGAAAAGTAAGATTTTAATCAATATCTCAATTGTTATATTATTATTATATAGTATTTATAAAGCGCCAACAGTTCACTCAGCGCTGTAAATTACAAAGGGAGACAGAACATGCGACAGTACAAAAACAATACAATGTGATACACGAGGGGTTTGAGGGCCCTGCTCTTTAAAGCTTACAATCTAGGAGAACCTCAATGAACACAAGACGAATTTCCAACATTTTGACAAAACTGATTTTTGTAGAACATTTGTTTAGCTCATGAAAGTAAGGTTAACAATAGAACTTAGATCTAGTATCTTAGATCTAACTACATCTAGTATTTTGTATGACACTGTGTGTGTGTGTGTGTGTGTGTATATATATCAAATTTATTTTAATTTGTGTATTATTCCTTATTTATTTTCCCAGAGCGATACAAGGGGATAGTGAGAAAAACCTTCATATGATATTGATATCTGCTTCCACTTGGCATACAACAGTTTGCTAATATGAAAGTTGGAGGAATAACTCAGAAATGTTGTCTATCGTTCAATCTGACTTCCTTTCTCTTGCCTTCGGGGTTTTGACGATCACTTGCCAAATTAGGATACTTAACATAAAATGCCGCCATGCTTCCAGTGCCTAATGGTTATTATAAATATTTATTAGAAGCTGTCAGAATGTGTAGCTAAGCAGCATTAGCTATCAGGAACAGATTTTTTTATACTTTTGAAACAATGAAACATTTCTCTGGATTCTTACAATATGGCTGCTGGAAAACCCGTATTTTTCTGTTCCAGTTTAAGCTGCTAAAGATTTGCCTTGTTACCACGTTTTGGTCTATGCATTAAACAGAGGAGAGTCTATAGAGGAAACCTCTCAGGATGAATAATGGGTGCTGCCAAAATTAAAGAATATGTCAACCCAACATTTTATATTGCTAATATGTACTTGATGTAGATGTATGAAAAAATGTCCTGTTATGTTTGTACTGCTTCCTTTGTGTGAAATCCCTAGTGTTCCTGCCAGCCTTTCTGCTTTCATATTAACCACCTCCCGCCCGCCATATAGTAATATGACGGGCGCAAGGTGGTTCTCTCGTTCTGGGAGGACGTCATATGACGTCCTCCCATTCTCACTGCGCATGCGCAGCTCAGGGAGCGTGCAGCGGCCATCGGCTGTGCGCTGTGTCCCTCAGATCACCGATCACGGAAAGAGCCGAAGATGTCGGCTCGGTCATGTGATCAGCTGTGTTCAATCACAGCTGATCACATGTAAACAGGGAAATGCCGGTTATCGGCATTTCTCTCCTCTCAAGCTGTCACGCTGACAGCTCGAGAGGAGAGGAGAGCCGGTAATCGGCTTTCCGCGGAGGGGACATGTACACTGATCATCAGGGCACTGATGATCAGTGTGCCCTGATGATCAGTGTAGCCCCAGCAGTGCCACCTGTCAGTGTCCATCAGTGCCTTATGTCAGTGCCTCGTGCCAGTGCCACAACAGTGCCACATATCAATGCACATCAATGCCACATATCAGTGCCTATCTGAGCTGCCTTTCAGTGTCACCCATCAGTGCCAGTCAGTGCCACCTATCAATGCCAATGCCAATCAGTGCCAGTCAGTGCCGCCTATCAGTGCTGCCTATCAGTGCACATCAGTGCCGCCTATCAGTGCCTGTCAGTGCCGCCTAACAGTGCCAGTCAGGGCCGCCTATCAGTGCCAGTCAGTGCCGCCTATTAGTGCCAGTCAGTGCCGCCTATCAGTGCCGCCTATCAGTGCCATGTATCAGTGCTGCCTTTCAGTGCCCATCAGTGATGCCTGTCAATGCCCATCAGTGCAACCTACCAGTACCTCCTCATCAGTGCCCATCAGTGCCTCCTATCAGTGCCATGTATCAGTGCTGCCTTTCAGTGTCCATCAGTGCAGCCAATCAGTGCCCATCACTGCAGCCTCATTAGTGCACATCAGTGAAGGAGAAAAATCACTTATTTACAAAATTTTATAACAAAAACTAAGAAGAAACATTTTGTTTCAAAATTTTCAGTGGTTTTTGGTTTGTTTAAGAAAAAATAAAAAACCCAGAGGTGATTAAATACCACCAAAATAAAGCTCTATCCGTCACACAAAAAATGATAAAAATTTTATATGGGTACAGTGTTGCATGACCGCGCAATTGTCATTCAAAGTGTGACAGCGCTGAAAGCTGCAAATTGGCCTGGGCAGGAAGGGGGTATAAGTGCCCTGTAGGCTAGTGGTTAAAAACTGACTAGGCAGGAAAGTACAACATGGTCATTTTTCTGGCTGTGCTGGGAGCTAATCCAATGATCAGGCTTGTGGTGACATGCCCCCTCTACACAGTCATTCACTGGGAAGACCAGATTGCTGCTGTTTATCATTCCCTAGCTCCATATGCAGCTAGGGACAGAGGGTATGTGATCACTTATAAAAAAGGGAATAATGTATTTATATTATTTTTATATGTATACATAAATGTTTTGCCTTTATTTCTATTATAAACAGGATGGGTTGTTTACCCACTTGCTTACCGGGCACTTATACCACCTTCCAGTCCAGGCCAATTTCCAGCTTTCAGTGCTGTTGCACTTTGAATGACAATTACGCGGTCATGCAACACTTTACCCATATTAAATTTTTATAATTCTTTTGAGACAGATAGAGCTTTCTTTTGGTGGTATTTAATCACCTCGGGGTTTTTTATTTTTTGTTAAACAAACCAAAAACAACTGAAAATTTTGAAAAAAAAAGTTTTTTCTTAGTTGCTGTTATACAATTTTGTAAATAAGTGATTTTTCTCCTTCACTGATATGCGCTAATGAGGCTGCAGTGATGGGCACTGGTAGGTGGCACTGATAGGCATTGACAGGCATCACTGATGGGCACTGAAAGGCAGCACTCATATATGGCACTGATAGGCGGCACTGACTGGCACTGATAGGCGGCACTGATAGGCGACACTGTTAGGCGGCACTGATGCGCACTGCGGCAGCACTGATAGGCGGAATTGTCTGGCACTGATAGGCGACACTGACTGGCACTGATAGGTGGCACTGAAAGGCAGCTTCAGATGGGCACTGATATGTGGCATTGTTGTGCACATAGGCGGCACTGATAGGCGGAATTGTCTGGCACTGATAGGCAGCACTGATAGGGAATTGTCTGGCACTGATAGGCAGCACTGAAAGGCAGCTCAGATGGGCACTGACATGTGGCATTGATGTGCACTGGTGACTGATATCTGGCACTGTGGGCACTGATGATTGATGAAAGGCAGTCCCCTCAGATAATGGCACGTGACGATGTCAGCGGCATCTCATGAGGAGAAGAATGCCTGGTAGGCACTTGTTATCATGGAATCACTGTGATTGGGCACTGATGATCACATGCCAATGTCATCGGCTCTTTCCGTTGATCGGTGACTGTGTCCCACACACTAGAGTGGAGGACGTCATATGATGATTCCCAGAACGAGAGAACCAGAAACCCATCATTACCGTTATGGCGGGTGGGAGGCCTCTTTCACATGGATGCCTGTTTTTCAGGCGGACCTGATCAGAACCTCCATTCACCTCTATGGAGCGGCGGGTGTAAACAGAAATGTGTCCGTTTACCTAACAAAAAATAGCAGTATGACAGATGCAGTACTGCTCAAACAAAAGTGGTTACTTCAAAATCCAAGTAATATTATCATTCAAAAAACTTTATTCGATCACATGGATCATATAGAGGTTAGACCAGGGGTGGGCAAACTTTTTGACTTGAGGGCCGCAATGGGTTCATATATTGGACCCGGGGGCCGGACTAGCTGCTGGCCGGCCCAGCCACTACACCCCCATGCCATCCATAGTAAGTATAGTAATATTCCGACCCCCATAGTAAGCATAGTAATTAATTCACCTTATATAGTAATTCATCCCCCATATAGTAATTCATCACCCATAGTAATTCACCCCCATATAGTAATTCATCACCCATAGTAATTCATCCCCCATATAGTAATTCATCCTCCATAGTAATTCATCCCCCATATAGTAATTCATCCCCCATATAGTAATTCATCCCCCATAGTAATTCAAACCCCAGTTATAGTAATTCATCCCCCATATAGTAACGCTTTTTTCATCCCCCATATTAGTAATTCATGTTTAGTAATCTTTCAACTCCCATAGTCTTAATTCATCCTCCATAGTAATTCATCCCCCATAGTCAAATTCAGGTCCCCCATATAGTAATTCATCCCCCATAGTAATTCATCCCCATAGTCATTCAACCCCCCATATAGTAATTCATCCCCCATTTATAGTAATTCATGTTCCCCCATATTAAATACCCCGTGTCAATTCACTTACCTTTGCTCCGCGCGTTTCCTCTCGCCGTTCTTTTCTTCTCCCGCGCCGCTCCGGAAAATCTGTCTCCTATGAGGATCTGTCCCCTCGACGTATCTGCGCATGTGCCAGTTTCAGGCATTAGCAAAGTTCAAACGATCGGCGATCTCCGGCACATGCGCAGATACGTCATGAGGGGGACAGATCTTCAGGGCGGACTGTGAGATAGGAACCTAGCGGGAGCCTAGCTCGCGGGCCGGATTAAAAGGTCCGCCGGGCCGTATACGGCCCGCGGGTTCCGTAGTTTGCCCATTGCTGGGTTAGACATAGATATGGTAAACAGGTAATAATAAAATCATCTTTAAAAACCTTTCGGTGTCTCCAAATAAAGTAGTTGTTCGGCAATTGAGGATCCACATAAGGCAATAGAGTTCCTAGCTACTAGATCAAAGAATTTTTAGGATGTCTAGACATGTGTCCGTTTACACCCGCCGACATCTAATCTAATCCGACCCGCAAAAAAACGGTTTTCTGTTATGGATGGGGATCCATTTTCCCTTTCAGTCCTTCCATCACATCGGGACCTTTTACTAGGTGAGACTTTATACATATATATATATACTTTATATATATATATATATATATATATATAGTCTCACCTAGTAAGGGTCCCGATACATATAAATATATATATATATATATATATATATTTTTTTTTTTTAGGGTGCAAGCTATTTATTAAAGAGAAACTCCATTTTTTAAAATGTAACATTTTAGGAGCCAGGATTATTAAAAAAGCATACTTTTGCTTCTGGTCATCAGACAGACAGACTCAGAGTACTATTGTGATGGGCATCACTCATGCGTCATTCTGTGATCGTCCTTTAGTGAAGCAGTAAGCACCACCTCCCGCTGTTGTTGCTGGAGGAAAAGAGGAGGGAATCATCAAGGATAGGATCAAATCAGCCAGAAGATCCTTTAAAAATGGTATGTATAGAGCTCAGAGAAGAAGAGAAAAAAACATAATGAGTCAGTTGTGTGTGTTGCAGTTTAGGGATCATGCTGATAGGACAAGAAAGCAGAGTGACAGAAAGATGAGCTCATCAGTGTGCTGTTTCTCTTTCTCTGTCCAGTCGCAATCTGGGGATGGAAAGGAGACCTGTAAGTAATAGTAAAACTGCAGTAGAGAAAAATAATGTCCCCTTTTGCTAGACAGGGCTGAGTAAATCTCAGAACTGGATGGACAGCTAGGAATGGCAGCCCCCATGTTGCTCTCATGAAAGATTACTTTTAATGAGCTAGTTACAAGTAAGTGATAGGAAACCTTGGTCTCTTACATTTTTCTTGTCCTCAAGTTTGAAGTTTGACTATAAAACCAAAGGAACCCTAAAGCAGTTTACTGAATGGAAAATAACCTAAGCAAAGTATTTTAGTTCTCTAGTGACCCCTAGTGGACAAGAAAGGTTTTGCAGATGACAATTCACTTCTGAAATAAAACTGAAGAAAAGTGTAGGGAAAGGCTTAGTTATAAAGCTTAAAATGATTAATTTGCTGATCAAACATAGCTTTTGTCAATAGCTTTTTGGTATCGGAAGATATGTGATATGTGTTATTCAAGTAAAGTGGTTCTAAAGGCAGAAGGTTTTTTTTTACCTTAATACATTCTCTGCATTATGTTAAAAAACCTTCCGTGCAGCTCCCCTCATACTTACCTGTGCCCATTCTCAGTCCAGCGCTGTGCAGTGGCTCTCGCCACTTTCTCTGTACTCACTGAACAGAAAGGAAGAATCAGGAGCCATTGGCTCCTGCTGCTGTCAATCACAGCCTGTATGCAGAGAGTGAGAGCAAGGCTGAGCTGTTTTCTGTTTATCAATGGACACACAGAACACGGCTTGGATTTGAGCCTGTACAAGTGCCCCCATAGCAAGTACTCTAAAGGGGGGAGGAGCCTGGAGCACAGGTTGGAGACCCAAGAAGAGGAGAATCTGGGTGGCTCTGTGCAAAACAATTACACAGAGTAAATAAGTATAACATGTATTTTATTAAAAAAAATAGGTTTACACTCACTTTAAGGTAAAATATAAGCATATTACACTTCCTATTTAGGAATAAACATTCCTGTACACTGTTCACTGTTTACTTGTTTCTAGAAAAATAACATAAGCCCAGCATGCTGACTGGTAGGGAATCAGATACTTTCTCCTCACTTCTCATTTCAGTGATTAGTTCCATCAGAACATCACAAGGCTCGCTTCCCATTTCAGTGATTGGTTCCATCATGACATCACAGGGCAGTATGAACCTTTAGATAGTTCATAATTCATGGGCCAAACGATTCAAAAGTGGCAGCTCCTCTGTTCCTTGTGCAATTCTCATCAATGGTATGGGATGGGTTAAAGAGGACATGTAATATTGATGTTGTGCCATAAATGTCAAGCAGAGCACAAAGGACTAGTCACCAATATTTCCTGTAGGCTCTCTGTTGCTGATCTTTCCTTATTATCTTCCCATGCCTTTTTCCACACTGTGTCTGTGCATGGAGGCAGCTATCTTGGCAGAAGAGGGGCCCTGCTTTTTCATATCTGAGGTGGTTGAATTATAAACAGATAATCTGATGATGGTTTCTCTGAAAAACAATGAAATAGTAATCGATAGCAGCAGCTGTGATGGGTAAAGCACAAATCAATGGAAGGAAGGAAACTGAAGCATGGAGGTATATGCAGTACAGGTCCTCAGGTACCACTTTCTCTTCAGTAAGGAGAGCAGAACAGTGAGCAGCACAGTACTGACATAATCAAATTTTACTACAAGTGTCTGACTAGCAGTCAAAGGCAACAGTGCCTCACAGTGTAAAAATAGCTGTAAGACTCAAGGCACAGGGTGCCTGGGTAAAGCTATTTGTAAGGAGAAATTAAAGGGAATTAAAGGGAAAACTGATTTTTTTTTTACAGTACTTCATGGCAAAATTAATCTATACACACACACACACACACACATACATACAGTATCTCTCTCTCTCTCTCTATATATATATATATTCCCTATAAGATGGCACATCATCAGGTTTTGAGTTCAGTCCACTTTATGTGGCAGGGCTATGGATGGACTACCTGTTCAAGCTGCAATACTTTTATGAATATAGGATAGAAGACAGACAGCCATAAGGAGGATCCAGGGGATGTGCCATTGGGTCTCCACTGGTTCCCATTGCTCTAGTTCTAAGACTGATAATAATGGAGCTGAACCAGTGAAGATAAGAATAAAGAATATAATAGCGTACAGACATTTTTGTGAAAATGCTAGGTTTTGCCAAGTTTAAAACCTGCCATTTGTTTAAATTTCCTGCTATGTACCACAAGCAACAAAGTGTCAGCTTGAAGAAGAAAGCCGCATTATCCTACCCAATCCTACCTACAGCAGATGGCATTTCAATGAATTCTCCTCTGAGTAATAATTTGTAGCAGCTTCACCTCATTTTCCAGCAATTGCTCAGTAGCTGAAATACACAAAACCACACACTCTTTATAACCTTTATGTTTCACTGCATTAGTTGCCAAGCAACTCATTTGAAGAAAGTCTTTTGTTCATTCTTGTGAATATTTAAAGTCTAAATGTAAAATTTAATAACAGTTTACTTCTTGCATTATGTTTGCTTCAATAGTCTTATACAATGAAAAAAAAAGGTAATTGCACATGCAGGAGGTGGGAAAAAAAAGGACAGCACCTTATGACTAATACGAAGGTCCTATTAAGGAGTAACGACACTCCTCTGAAGTTTGGGATGTTCCCTTTGGTAATGTTTCAGTGCTGAGATCTTTTTATATTTTTACATTTCTATTTGTCCTTGTTGGT